AAGATTGTAGATGTTATTTATTGTATACTGAATTGTGTAAATAGTGGTGCAATAAATAAGGTCTGTGGAGACTTCTTAACTTATGGCAATTCATGTCTAAAAGTTATGCTAGACATATAACTGTGCAACAGGATTTTAGCCACTGTGTTCTTTTGATAGAAGATAGGATAGAAATATCTAAATAAGTATTTTTAAAAAATATTTGTAATATTGATGAACTATCTTTCCACAAATGTTGTGCAGATGTTAAATAAAAATTCAAATTGCAGCACTAGTTCATACAGATCATGTCAAAATATCAACACACTGTTAAATTAAAAGCCCACATTCATAAATCAAAAGGAGTTTAAAAGGACAGATGCTCCACATTAAATTGTTGCATCCCTCCTGTGGTAAACTTGATGATTTATTCCACCCCTAGTGACTGAAGCTTATAATTTATGTTTAAATGTTTCACTTTGGATTGGTTTTACATTAGTTATATTTTATTTTCCCATTGCTGGCTATAGTTTTAGAGCTGAAGATAGGAGGTACACACCACCAAACATAATTCAAAGTAGAAGACTTGGCTCTTAACTCCTTTGTTGAAATGTCTAGAGAATAACAAACACATCTTTGCTCTGAAAGTAAAGTATTCCACAGCTTGGGATGGTTCCAGAAATCGATACATCATGGGAGATGGCTCAGAAGTGTCTCTCTGAAACATGTAAAAGTCTCTGCTTTGGACTACAGCTCCCAGAATCCCAGAGCAAACATGATCATTCCAAATGTGTAACTTTTGCCTTGTTGGTTTATTTATTTGTTAAAACTGTAATGAGAACTCAACAACAATGTATGCATGGTGAGATACCGGAGGTTGAGTTTGGGAAATTCCATGTACAAGGATTAAGCCATAACACTGAGACACGTCCATTCCCCATAGATTTGCCATAATCATGTCTATTTAAACCCATCATCATATGCCCGTGTCATGATGGATTTCTGATCCCATGATGAATGCAGCATCTGTGGTTGCTTGCAGATGTCTTACAACTATGGAGTTATGTCTCTCTTGTGTTGACTGATCTTTGAAAACACTTTAATATGCCTTGACAATATTAGAAATAAAACATTGACTCTTGTATGAAACAGGCAACAGCACTGAATTGAACTGTTACTTCAAACTAGAGTACTGTAAATACTGTAAATAAAGAGAATGTAATAAGTCACAATTTCTGTAAGTGCCATTGATTCACTTGATTCAGTTGTTCTTTTTGATTCAGGTTGTTTTTGAGCTGGGACTGACAGCTGGATTTAACCCACAATGCTTAGTTCTGCAACTGGTTTTGTAAAATTGGGACCTAAAGTTGTACTTCATCCATTTCCTTCTGCATCTTTTTGACAGCCCAGTTAAATTTAGTACATAAAACTAAAATTACCCTGTGTACCTCTGTGAGGGTTCAACTTTAGGCTCCAGATTCAATTCAAAGAAATCAGCAGATCTATGTTGTTTCAAAACAGGTCTGGGATTTATTGGAGGATTAAACAATAAACAAGTGTCTGGAACATGATTATGAGTCTTTTCTTCTTCTGCCAACTGGTCCAGAAGGGGCTTCCATTCGTCGAACAAGAACAGGTTTCTATAACTACAGTCCCAGGGTCCCTGAAGATCATTTGAGGCCCAGTCCTTTACTGTCTGCCTCATCGCACTTTCCAGCAGGGGCACAGTCTCCTCGTCCAGATTGTCATCACACAAGATCTGTCCATCGGGGTCTCAATTCTCCCAGGGCCTTCCCTGTAGTTCCTTCTCTTCATTAATCTCACTGTCCATTCTAATCTTTCTCTCCTTTCTCTCTCTACTCATTCCTTCTCCTCCCTTAGTCTCATTCTCCACTCCCTCGGGTTTAGGGCAAATCTCTACTCTTCTCCTGTAATCTGCCCCCTCTTTTGGCACTCTCAATCTTTCCCGTAATCCAGTCCACGGATCCTGCATCCATCACTCTCAATCTTTCCCGTAATCCAGTCCATGGATCCTGCATCCATACCCGTTCCCAACCAAGCGGTAACTGCTCTTCCCTCCTTTCCACTTCCCCCGCTCCTGCTTCAAACTCCACCCTCTTCTTTCTCTCTCTTCCCACCTTTTCTTCCTGAACTTCCCCTGTCGTCACTTTCTGTACATGTTCCGTCAGCTCCTCTATCACTGTCTCCCACAGAGCCTCCACCAAAGGCTCAGGTACGGGTTTGGGGTCCACCTCCCCGTCTCTGCTGTTGAGGAGGGATGGCTCTCCAACTACTGGGGTATCCCTCTCACTCTCTGTCTCACAACATCTCTTTTAAAAAATCACTAGAAAAGTTATGTAATCTTCAGAAAGCCAATATTGTTCCCTGTTCAGAGGTGAAATTTAGAGAAGGTGACACCTAAATAAATAAGGGGGAAAAAAGAAATAAATTCTAGGAAACATGTAAAGATTCTCTGTGTGTAAACTGCTATCTGATTAGCTCTAATGAACTTTGAACAGAGCCACTAAATGTTGTCTGATGTAGCTCCAGAGGGACTGAAAATAATTACTCAACAAGCCATAGTGCTTGTGCACTGACACATAATTCGTGACATTTAAGGGAGCTATGTGGAGTGGAGCTATTGAACATTACACCCACTGTAAGAACTGTCATTTAACACCACACGGGAGTGTTGTAATGTTTATAACAAGCTACTGTATATTTAAATAGACCTTATCCTGTATAGTGGGTGGCCAAGTTGTAGGTATTGTTGGATAACAATTTCTGTAGCCCAAGCCAACATATCCAGTTATGAGAAATGGTGGTAATTGCAATCCAGCCATATGAAAGGCTACGAGTTGTCTACTTTTGCTGTGTGTAAACCATTCCTACTGAAAACTCATCTACAATTTTTGGAAAATCTTCAGAATGGAGATTAAATCACTGCTGAACATAATAAAGACCAGATGGAGCAAGTTCGTGTTAACAACTCTTCTGAAGAAGACTATATTAAATTTTACTGCTTTACACTTAATTTGACAGTGAGAAATCTACTTCCCTGCAGGAGAGCATTTCGATATTACATGCCTTTTGCCATTAATTTTCTTTCATATCAGCTTTGGCAGCTCAGCTGTAATGTCACTGCCACTCATTTAACGCAATCTTATCTGTGTTATACTTGGATTTCCTGGCACTAGTTTCGATTATGGTCATTATCATTGATGGCAGTGTCTAGGATTTGCTGTCCTATCAAAGCAAAAGGGCAGCCTAGATGAGCTGGCCCAACTGGGCCAACCTCTTTCAGTTGCATAGCTGAACAAAGAGGTTGCCTCAGCCATGACAACCATGGTTAGCCTAACAGCTGGGTTGACAGTAAAATAAGCCTTCTGATAACATGAGAAGGAAACCATTCTGGAGCTGTTGCCCAAGTGCTGGAGAAACAAGAGAATGTGAGAAGCCAGAAGGCTTCAGGAAAGTGCATTGCAGTGTTGAAAGTGGAGACAGACCGGCCCCTCTCTTGGTAAGGCATAGAGAGACCAAATGGGGCAGGGGAGACGGATCAGGTTGATTGCCCAGTCTCTCCTAGATGGGTAGAAAGCGGTGCTGGAAGTTAAATTCCCTATTGCTCAGCTTCCTGAATGCCTCTACCTACAGCAGCCACGTGCAGTCTGAGAACACACTTGCATATGAATTCTGTAGTACCATTTTCAGCCATTAAGGTACTAGAACACTCTCTGGGTAGTTTACAACATAATTATGTAAAGAACAACTTGTCCCCACAGACTGGGTACTCATTTTATTAACCTTGAAAGGTGGAAGGTTGTGTCAACTTTGAGCCAACTACCTGAACTCCTTGGGATCACACTCGGGTCATGAGCAGAGGCTTGACTGCAGTACTGTAATTTAATCACTGTACCAGGGGATCCTTCCATGAACTGTCCCTCTGTATAGTAAGAGGCAAATCTGCCCATTCATTTTCTCCTCCAGTTAAGTTTTGCCAATTTTATAAAATTTGATTTTTAAAAAATATGAGCTGAAAAGGAATTTCAGCCATTTCTGGATGATAGCTTTCTTCTTGGTTCAGATTTTGTGAATTTTTGTGATTTCTGATTTTAAAAAATTAAGTGAAACAGAATCCTAAACCATCCCTATATCAAATTATGGGATATTTCAGTACACAAACAGTGTGAGAATAAGTCCAAAGGTTTAATGTGCACACTGCATGTGATGTCTTCTCAGTGTACATGCTAGGAGTAGGACACTTCAGTAGTTGTGGAGATGTAGATGCCCATCCCTGGGCTTGGAGGGTTGCATCAGCTCCTATACTACTACTTTTGCTTCTCCCTTTCAGCAAAAATGTTGTCATTTTACAAAAATTCTTGGAGCAGGCAACTAAGACAACCTGGGGTCATGACAAAATGGATAAAGAAATAGGGCTTGAGTTGCTGGCAGGACCTGGTTTGTGTGTGTGGAAAAACTGAACTTTGTCCACTTGTGCAATATATCATCAGAACATTATGTCTTTCTAATGCAGCTCATGATTGCATGAAATAAAAAACAACCTCATATAAAGTAAAAGTATTTCTATATTTCCATGCTGGCAAGTCAAATCTGATTTATGTCCATCTTTTTCATTGTTTTCTAGATATATTCAGGAATGGTTTACAGGGGATTGTACAGCTTGTCCAATCTAAAAACTCTAAAAACAAAGACGATGCCAATTTTGAGAAGACTATGATAATGACCCAGTGTAGATAAGACTAGAATCATGTTGGAAAAATCCATAAGCAGAAAAGTGTCTGTCAGATGATTACTGTGAGCAGTTTCCTGACCAGTTGTATGATCAGAGCCCTGTATGGGAATGCCCCAAATGATTATTTGTGCAATTAACCTTTAATGTGCAGTTTCTCCCAACAAGGTTGCTTATTTCTAAACACATTGCCTTAATGTTCGGTTTTCTGCCATCTTCCTGTGATGCACTTGCATTTTTAAACATTTTTATGTAACTTTTGTGTTTGCAGTTGATCTTAAAAAAGGCTCCAGTCCAAATGCTGCAAAATCAAACCTTCCAAAACCATGCCAGTCCGGACTCCGCCCACCAGGTTATTCACGCTTGCCAGCTGCTAAACTGGCTGCCTTTGGGTTTGTCAGGAGCTCAAGTGTCTCTTCAATCTCGAGCAACCAATCAAATGACAGCGTCCAGAGTGATCAAACCAGGACAGCCAACCGTAAGTCAGGCAACATTATTCTCATTTTAGATACCTTGCAGATGTAGTCAGTGGGGAAAGGGGGGGAGTTTAATCCTTATTAAGATATTGTTAATGGTCTCTATCAAAGCACTTTTATGTGGATGTTGAATTCCCATTGCCCACTTAAGATTTTTATGAAATAATGATGGATGAATAATTTCTTATGAAAGATTACTCTCTAGATTGCTTGAAAAAAATGCATCTCATGCAGTTCTGTTTTCCCCTCTTGTCCTTTTTACCTATTTGACGAATTATCCCTCCTGCAAGGGGATGTAAGTAAATAAGCACGAATAGATTCCCTGCGTCAGCATACTACAGTTGCTTCAGGAAAAGATTATGTGATATAAGCAGTCTATTCTTTCTCATTTTTCCCCACCTTCTGCGTATTGTTTGCTCTTTGTTTCTTGAAAGTAAGGTGCCAAGCTTTTGGAAGTTAATGAACACTAAGAGTGTTGTATACGGCATATAATATAATATAATGAGTATTATAGTATACTGTAATATATTAACTATGCTATTATAATAATATCATATTGATATAATGAATAATTTTAACAGGCTCACACTGTTGTTTTAAATCATTTTTGCAACTCTGTGCATATGTTTGTGTGTATTTGCTGTGGGTCTCTTTCACAGCAGTTGCAAAGGACTGTCAGCTAAAACACTACCTCAAATCCTATTTTCTCTTCTTACTGTTAATTTTGTTGAGTACAAAATGAAGGAACGATGCTGAGCATATTCATTGTGGTATGGATACGTGCCTTGCACTCAAAACACGAGTAAAGGGTTGGGGGATTTTTGTCTTCTCTTCCATGCCAGCTCCTTGCTTTGAAGACCAGCTTTCGTATGAACCGTGTCAATTTCAAAGCAACTGTTATCACTCGTGAAGTGCTTCAGATTGTAGGTGCCAGCTTGCGTAAAATGCCAGAGGCTTTTGGATGCTGTAGAGTCCTAAATCTTTCAGTGTTTATGTTAATTTTAAACGAATTACAATAAATAAAACAACAACAAAAAATAGGTCAAAATCAGTCCCAAGGACCTCCTTACGCTTGCTTCGTACATTTTGTAATCAGTGCAGCCATGTGGGTTCTGTGAGAATAACAGCCATAATGAAATACCAATTTATACTAATGCCTTTACGGTGCTATTACATTGCTCTGTTGCTTGAAGTGTGATGAATGGGAAAAGGTTTAAAGAGGTGATAGGTGGAGAGAAATATGCTTCGGCAGGACAGAACTCACTCAAATGAGATTTCTCAACACCCAGGCTGTAAGTAAAAGGAGCAGTGTGGCAGCTCTAGATGGTGGAAAATATTTTATGGGGCAGCAATGAATGTCACAGTACATCTGGCAATCTACCCAGGAGGTGCAATAAGTGGCTTGTAAGTGGGAAAATGCCATGCCTCAAGAGTGTTGTCAGTCATTAGTGGAAAAGCAGGATGAGCAACTGTGGAGGATCTGAGGGCAACACCTGCCCTCCTGCCCCTCGCCCCCCCCAAATCTTTGTGGGTTATGCCTGCTCCGTTTTTTTGAAACTATATTCCCCCAAAGATCCCCACCACACATACACAAACCCAAATAGAACTGCAGTGAACAATTGTTGTGACTTCTGGATTTCCATTGTTGAGAGGTTGCCGGTATTGTGGCCAAATCTTCTGCTGTTGGGATGCTTGTAGTTCCAACCCACAGGAGCCAACATGCCGGTACCTGGAAGGGTGGATAGAAATTGTGAGTCACACAATTCCTCCTCCTGTTGGGGAAGAGTTTTCAGAGAAGCCGGAGCTGTGCAACCTGAGATAAGTGGGGCTTTCTGCAGGATGAAGCTTGCATAGATTTTCAACCTGTGCCCTGCACATTTTGTAATGATCCTTTGGGTCTGGGGTGGCAGTTTCACTGAATAGAGGTGGGCACAAACCTCATTTTGTGCGTTTGTGCCAGTTGTGCCATATGCATGGCATCGCAGGTGCTTGCACATTCCTTTCTCTGCTTTCCCAGCTGGATCCCCAACTCACCAGCCAGCGCACACTCCTGTCCTCCTCCCCTTTGGCTGTTCGGCCAGTCTCCAGCGGGAGCCCAGGCTTCCCTGCCCCACCTCCTTGGCTGATCATCCACTCAGACAAGGAGGCAGGACAGGAAAACCTCTGTTCCTTCCGGGGACTGGTCAAAGAGTCCAAGAGGGAGAGGAGAGGTGTGTATGCTGGCTGGTGAGTTAGGGATCCAACTGGGGAAGCAGGGGAAGGGAAAACATGGCACCTGTTGTGACATGCATATAAACCAGAACAAACCAAGGGTTGTGTCCATCTCTGTCATTAAATCCAATAGGAATTTTCTGTCCTTGGGATCACCCAGGGCCACATGGGTTGCCCAAAAAACAAATGAACCTCCATAGCCACAAAATTGGAAGTGGCTGGAAGTTTGCAGGGAAGACAGCAGTCTGTTTAAATATGAAATGACATTCCTGGAGGCCTTCCAGAGCAGCAGTTTAACTTTTCTGGGAAAAGGGGGTTAAGGGAGAGAGTTGAGGGCCTCAAAAGCAAGTTGAGAGGACTAAATGTGGTCTCAGTACTGAATTTTGCTCACCCCTCTTATAGATGATATACTGTACTTGTATCCTTGCTAGTTTCCTTCCTTTGATGTATATAACCTGACTGCATTCATTCATTCATTCATTCATTCATTCATTCATTCATTCATTCATTCATTCATTCATTCATTCATTCAACTATTTCCCCATAGTGCAGTGCATTTTTAGGCTGCACTCTTATATCCATTTATACACAGTGGGACTGAGGATGCTATGAAACACAGAAATAGCCCACATTTTGGACCCCCTTGTAGCACAGTCTGGTGCAAGCTATTTCCTGGTGATCACATGATGTACAGGAGAGCATGAACCAGCCGGAACATGATCTGTACCCAAGCTGGACCTTTTTGGTTGTGTTGCAGGAATATTCTTTTTGGGGAGCCTGGCTGGAGCAATTCCGGCATGGATGGGAGGGGTCACTTTAGGGGAGATTGCTCCCGACACAGCAACCCTTCCAAAGGGATCAAATGTAGTATTTTCTCATTGTCTGACTGCACCTTCAGTTTTGTGTAAAATTTCCCTGTTAGGATTTTAGAGTGTGATTATATAACAGTTTATCTTGTTCCCACCTGTTACGATTTTACTGAGGTTTTATTTTTGTGTTGTGTACATTTTATTGATTTTTGTGTTTCCCATTATATGCAGTTTTGTCTTTAATTACAGGAAATGGCTAGTAAGCAGGGTTCACAATTTTTTCCAAAAAGCTTTTGCTCTACAAAATTGTTTACATCCCTCTGTATTTTAGATGTATGTTGTCTTATTGCACAGTATGTTATTCACACTTTTAAAATAAAGCATGCTGAAATGGGCCACTTCTCTTTGGAAGAGAGAGAAAAACAGGAGAGAATTTTTAAAAAGCAAGAGGCTGTGGTATACAAAGTGTGCTTGATCTGGATCAAAGTGCTTTCAGTTTCACACATGAGCAGGAGAGTAGCATGGATCCATCTGACTCAGAATCATTCTGGCTATAAGATTTTGGCATCTCCAATTCAAAAGGATAACTGGCCCAGGTTTTCCAGGTGTGGCCCATTTGCTTTCTATTTAGAATAAAAATTGTCATAAATTAAGAAATCTCTGTAGGTATAATCTGTTGCATACCATATCATGTGACACTTTAGGCAACAGATAATAGCTACAGAGATTTCTTTACTTACAGCAGCTTGTTACTAAAAGTTGCAACTTTTGCATAGTTATACAACAGGACTTTTGACTGCTCTAAACCAACTGAAAGGATCAATGTTATTTGTAGGAAATATACATGCCCCACATTATGTTTTTTCGTGGCTTCGTAGGGCTCATTGTATGAAATGGGTGCCAAGAATTCGAAATGTTCTAACTATTTCTCCTTCTCACCTATTTGTCACTTTGTCTCACACTATTCAATCCCTATCAGTCCTTTTGCCTTGGTATAGTTTTTCCCTGTGCATAGCTTTATTTTCCTTCTGAAGTCCTGGATGCCCTGTTGAAACTAGTGTGTGACTTGAGATAAAGTGACATGTAAGCCAGTTCATATTTGAAGAATCCTTCTGCACACTTGTGATTCTAAGACTTCCATAGGTTTGCTGTGCACCTGCCAAAGGTACACCCAAGTCAAAAATAGATCTTAGCAGCTCATGTGTCTCTAGAGACTTGTGTTCTTACCTCAGCTCACTTCTAGAATAGTTTTTCTGAACATGGCTATGTCAAAAAAAATTGTGAGAAACTTTTTTAGTGTTCCCCAGAAGTACTCTTCTGGCAGAACTTTTGTGTGGCTTTAGTATTTTTATCTGTTTTCATTTCAGTCATAATGCAGATTGTATATTCTTACATTAGATTGCATACATTAAATAAAAAAAATTATAATAGTATAGTATGTTAGCAGAAATTTTAAACAAAATTTCTGATTTTAATGAATGAAGAACAGTAATCTAGAGAAGAAGTCAAAGGTAAATGTAATAAAAATGTTTTTAAATAAAAGTTATTTATTTATTGCACTTGGATAATTAACATTTGGCAATGTTCTTACATACCTTGACTGCTCTTCTCTATGCCTTGTAGAAAAACTATGACTATTCTATGCACTAATCACATATTTGAAGGGATGTCATGTCGAGGAAGGTACAGGTTTTTTTCCACAGCTCCAGACACTAGGACAAGGTGCAATGGTTTCAAACTGCAGGACAAGAGATTCCACCTGAATCTCTCACCGCTGACAGTCAGAGCTGGTCAGCAGTGGAATATGCTGCCTCAGAGTGTGGCAGGTTTTTAAGCAGAGGCTGGATGGCCATCTGTTGGGAGTGCTTTGATGGAGTTCCTGCATGGCAAACGGTTGGACTTGATGGTCCCTGTGGTCTCTTCCAACTCTGTGATTCTATGATTCTATAATCAGAAAAAGCTCATTCCTGTTCTTTTTTTTC